GGGGGGGGGGGGGGGACCACAACCCCAAAAACTTAAGGAACAAGCTTGTTTTATGAACACTTTTGGGGAGGTAAGCACGGAACCGGAACTCTGGGAACAGGCAGTGTGGGAGGAACTGGAATCCTGACAAGAAGCAGGCTTTGTGGCTGCAGCACCCTGAGGGCAATGAGGGGAAATTCATCAAGACCAGTGTCCTATGTGACCTTGCACAGTATGCCCCTTAACAGCCTTCACTGAGGGCCTGTATTTGGAAATTTTATTTCCAAATTAACGTAAGCAGCTATACCTCATACTTCTTTTTCCTATTTCCAAAAGCACTCAGGATACAATAGCTCATTGATAGTCCTATTATTTACATATTACATTTTAACACCAAAGAAATCCTATATTTAAACTGAGCTAAAAAAAAGATTTTGCCACATTCACCATAAAGATATTTTATATGTACCAAGCAAACATTAAAAAGTTAAGAAAAGCACTGAGATTTTTCAAAGAGTCCATCACTTACTGAAACTAAATCTAAAGGCGTTTGTCCTTCCTGATTTTTAAGAGTAGGGTCGGCTCCGTGGGCCAACAACAAAGCACAAAGCTGTGTTCGTCCCTTTTGGGCTGCTTCATGCAAAGGTGTGAAAGCCCACTTGTCCGTAGCATTGACACACGCATTATACTTTATTAGTAAAGCTGCTACATCTACATGCTGTAAAAGAAAATACTCCTGTTACAGTCTGAAATGTTATCACATTTTAGTTCCTAAGAAGAAACTAGCTACATACTTATTTTTTCATATTTTCAAACCTACTCTGGAAATGAAAAAAAAAAATCGTGTTTCTCCCCAACATCATAATTTATGGGTAGTTGATTAAAAATTACAGTAGACATTTTAATAACTTGAGAAATCAGAAAACATTCAAGAATTCTACACAGGACAGGAACTAAATAAATGAATGTGACTTAAACAACTTCTCATTTATCCAAGTGTTGTAACTGCTGAACATCAGTTTAGAAACCAGCAACCTTCCCCAATTATTCAAACTACACCTACTGAAAATGGTCAATACTAATTGTAATATTTAGGGCTGTTATAAACTCAGGAACAATGCACCTGAATCTCTAAGGACTCTTAGGAGTCCCAGTGGTTTTCCTGGTACCAACAAATAAACAAAATCATTAACATCTCACTGAAAATAAGAGGTGCTAAGGAAGATAATAAAATGAATGACAAATGTGCTGCATGTCACAGAGCAAGCTTACAACAGATTCAGAATTGAAACCTGGACATTATTTAATCTCCTTAGCCCTCATATTTATTCCTCTATAAAACGAAAAAGTCAAACTAAATGCCCTTTGAGAACTGCAATATTGATTTCCACTTTGAAAATTTTAGAGATTAAAAAAAATTTTTTTTAACATTTATTTTTGAGAGACAGAGTGTGAGGGGGGCGGGGCAGAGAGAGAGAGAGAGAGAGAGGGAAAGAGAGAGAGAATCCAAAGCAGGCTCCAGGCTCTGAGCTGTCAGCACAGAGCCCAACTTGGGCTTGAATCCATGAACTGTGAGATCATGATCTGAGCCGAAGTCAGTCGCCTAACTGACTGAGCCATTCACGCGCCCTGAAAATTTTAGAGATTTTTTAAAGGTAATATAAAAAAACTTACCCCATAAGATGCTGCATTATGTAAAGGAATAAGTCCTCCTTTGTCTTGGGCATTCACATCGGCTCCATGTTGCAACAAATACTCTGCAACTTCTAAATTGTTATAACCAGCTAATTTAGAAAAGAATTAAAATTACTTCCACTTGTTAATATAAAAAATTAAATCTACGCGTCTGTATATATCTATATAAAAAGCATAGACATGCTTTGAAAAATAAAGCAAGTTTACAGAAATCTAAAATTCTCCACTAGAATGTATTAAAACTTTATCTTATGAAAAAAACTGCCCACTGGTCTCAAGTTGGAAGCTTTCAGTGATATGCATTCCACAGCCTCTCCAAAAGTTATACTGACTGATTTGCTAATATCTTTCCTTTTAAAACCTTCTACCTAAGTCCCTGCCTTTATGGTTGTTATATACAACTTCCTGTACTCAGGTACACGGTCTCAAGGGCTACAAATAAAAGGCATTTAAGCATATAAAAGCCAAGTTAGAAACACAAGTGGCCAGCAGAATAGGAGACAGCACACCAGCATGGGTCTCAAGACTCCATTTTCCCGGAAGGCTGCAAAGACATGCTTTTTGTAGAGTGAGATCTTAGGGATATACACCTGTGCGCGTCTGATAGTAGAACCTAATGTTGCTAAAGCCATGAAGTGAAACTTAGTATTTTATAAATATACCATAACTTCTTAGCTGTCATACTGGGAACTGTTCGTTATCTTAGTACATAGTCTTATGGTAAAGTATATCTTATTTGACACACAATCATAGATTGAAAGCAAATTGGGAACTTTGCCAACATAAAACCAGGTATCACTTGAAACTTTAAAATAGTTCAAAATATCTCATTCACATTTATTTTTTTGTAGCTTTTATTCTTTTGCTAAAGGATTTAAAGCCAAAACATTTAAGATCAAGAAGGGAGAAACAAAACCACAGAACTACCATAAACTAAGTATTACAATGAATCCAAAAGTTCTTTCAGGTCTCAAGTTATAAAACTGCACAAGGAGGCAGAAATGTTTTGCATATACAACTTAATAACCACTTACAAAGACAACACAGATTTAAATAGTTATTGTTAAATGTTCTAGATAAGCTACCATAAAGATACAGAAGAGCTAATATAAATAAATATACACAGCATAATTCAAATCGGATGTCACATCACATCCTGTCTTGTATGGATGAAAAACTCCTCATTACCAGTGGAAGTATAAAAGCTTTCTGTCATCATGTTATTAGCACTTGTGGTTATCACTACCAAAATTCTCTAAAGACACAGAGTAATTCTTTTCCTTGGACAGTGGGGTCCCAACTTACAGGTGGTGAAAGTTTCAAGGTAAAAATCACATATCACCAAAATTGTCTTAAAAAATTTTTTTTTAACGTTTATTTTACGAGAGA